CAAAATTGTTCTGAGTTTGATTGTAGTACTGTCATGACTAGATCTAGATCTACTGAATTGTTCTGAGTTTGATTGTAGTACTGTCAGGACTAGATCTACTGAATTGTTCTGAGTTTGATTGTAGTACTGTCATGACTAGATCTAGATCTACTGAATTGTTCTGAGTTTGATTGTAGTACTGTCAGGACTAGATCTACTGAATTGTTCTGAGTTTGATTGTAGTACTGTCAGGACTAGATCTACTGAATTGTTCTGAGTTTGATTGTAGTACTGTCAGGACTAGATCTACTGAATTGTTCTGAGTTTGATTGTAGTACTGTCAGGACTAGATCTACTGAATTGTTCTGAGTTTGATTGTAGTACTGTCAGGACTAGATCTACTGAATTGTTCTGAGTTTGATTGTAGTACTGTCAGGACTAGATCTACAGAATTGTTCTGAGTTTGATTGTAGTACTGTCAGGACTAGATCTACTGAATTGTTCTGAGTTTGATTTGATTTTAGTATTTTAGTACTGTCAGGACTAGATCTACTGAATTGTTCTGAGTTTGATTGTAGTACTGTCAGGACTAGATCTACTGAATTGTTCTGAGTTTGATTGTAGTACTGTCAGGACTAGATCTACTGAATTGTTCTGAGTTTGATTGTAGTACTGTCAGGACTAGATCTACTGAATTGTTCTGAGTTTGATTTTAGTACTGTCAGGACTAGATCTACTGAATTGTTCTGAGTTTGATTGTAGTACTGTCAGGTCTAGATCAACTGAATTGTTCTGAGTTTGATTGTAGTACTTTCAGGTCTAGATCTACTGAATTGTTCTGAGTTTGATTGTAGAAGATCTGTTCTGAGTTTGATTGTAGTACCGTCAGGTCTAGATCTACTGAATTGTTCTGAGTTTGATTTTAGTACTGTCAGGACTAGATCTACTGAATTGTTCTGAGTTTGATTGTAGTACTTGTTCTACTGAATTGTTCTGAGTTTGATTGTAGTACTGTCAGTACTGTCTACTGAATTGTTCTGAGTTTGATTGTAGTACTGTCAGGACTAGATCTACTGAATTGTTCTGAGTTTGATTGTAGTACTGTCAGGACTAGATCTACTGAATTGTTCTGAGTTTGATTGTAGTACTGTCAACTTGAATTGTTCTGAGTTTGATTGTAGTACTGTCAGGACTAGATCTGAATTGTTCTGAGTTTGATTGTAGTACTGTCAGGATAGATCTACTGAATTGTTCTGAGTTTGATTGTAGTACTGTCACTGAACTGAATTGTTCTGAGTTTGATTGTAGTACTGTCAGGACTAGTTTGATTGTAGTACTGTCATGACTAGATCTAGATCTACTGAATTGTTCTGAGTTTGATTGTAGTACTGTCAGGACTAGATCTAGATCTACAAAATTGTTCTGAGTTTGATTGTAGTACTGTCAGGACTGGATCTACTGAATTGTTCTGAGTTTGATTTTAGTACTGTCAGGACTAGATCTACTGAATTGTTCTGAGTTTGATTGTAGTACTGTCAGGACTAGATCTACTGAATTGTTCTGAGTTTGATTGTAGTACTGTCAGGACTAGATCTACTGAATTGTTCTGAGTTTGATTGTAGTACTGTCAGGACTAGATCTACTGAATTGTTCTGAGTTTGATTGTTCTGAGTTTGATTGTAGTACTGTCAGGACTAGATCTACTGAATTGTTCTGAGTTTGATTGTAGTACTGTCAGGACTAGATCTACTGAATTGTTCTGAGTTTGATTGTAGTACTGTCAGGACTAGATCTACTGAATTGTTCTGAGTTTGATTGTAGTACTGTCAGGACTAGATCTACTGAATTGTTCTGAGATTGTAGTTGTCAGGACTCTGAATTGTTTGTTCTGAGTTTGATTTTAGTACTGTCAGGACTAGATCTACTGAATTGTTCTGAGTTTGATTGTAGTACTGTCATGACTAGATCTAGATCTACTGAATTGTTCTGAGTTTGATTGTAGTACTGTCAGGTCTAGATCTACTGAATTGTTCTGAGTTTGATTGTAGTACTGTCAGGACTAGATCTACTGAATTGTTCTGAGTTTGATTGTAGTACTGTCAGGACTAGATCTACTGAATTGTTCTGAGTTTGATTGTAGTACTGTCAGGTCTAGATCTACTGAATTGTTCTGAGTTTGATTGTACTACTCTCAGGACTAGATCTACTGAATTGTTCTGAGTTTGATTGTAGTACTGTCAGGACTAGATCTACAGAATTGTTCTGAGTTTGATTGTAGTACTGTCAGGACTAGATCTACAGAATTGTTCTGAGTTTGATTGTAGTACTGTCAGGACTAGATCTACAGAATTGTTCTGAGTTTGATTGTAGTACTGTCAGGACTAGATCTACAGAATTGTTCTGAGTTTGATTGTAGTACTGTCAGGACTAGATCTACAGAATTGTTCTGAGTTTGATTGTAGTACTGTCAGGACTAGATCTAGATCTACAGAATTGTTCTGAGTTTGATTGTAGTACTGTCAGGACTAGATCTACTGAATTGTTCTGAGTTTGATTGTAGTACTGTCAGGACTAGATCTACTGAATTGTTCTGAGTTTGATTGTAGTATAGTCAGGATAAGAACAGTGTTGTGTTATTTATGAAGCTGTGGTTTATAATAGTACTATTTGATAGCAGCTCAGTTTATTCCTGAGCAACCTTCTGACTTGTGGTACACACAGCAGGATCTTTCCTTAGTTTGACCTAAAACAAGAAAAAGAACAAAAAAAATTGTATAGATTTTTCCTGTCTGACCTCTGTCTTTCTTAAGATAACTTCAGTATATTTTTCAGCTTATGCAGTCCTTAATTACGGTGAAAAATTGAGCTAGTCTACATCCTTGTGTTATAGTCATCCCATTTTCTCCAAGTATTCTCAACATTATTGTCTTCAGGTATAGAATTATCGTCATCCCTCTAGAGCCTAGTTATGAGATTTAGAGCCTCACTTTAAGTTCTGCACTGATCAATGAGATTTCGCCAAGTGTCCGCGAGCTCTGTGATCATGAATGGGTTGACCTCTTTCTAAGAAATCTAATTACACTGGTGAAACTGTTCCCTGCTAAATATGCCAATGGATAGTTAGGTTGATTTCGGAGGGCTATAAGATTTGTTATTTCCATAGTTTTACATACTTTTCCTGACAACTATTCCCCGAGGATGCTAGGTATAAGGATATTCATCTCAGCTTTCGAGTCCACTGTCTTTGATAATCGTGTATAACAGAAAGACATTTTGAAACATCTGATCAGCAAACTTGATATGAGGGACCATATCACCGGATGTGTCTGTCCTTAGAGATATCTGTTATAGCCAAGACCTACACAGAATGGGGACCTCACACCTCCATTGTGTTTAAGAATGCGCTGAATGTATCTTTTGGGACGTGTATTTCCTGTTAACACTGTCCCTTCATTGTGTAATATATATATGAAGCTGTCATCTTGAGGGACCAATCATCCCATCATACTTGTTACTATAGATCATAAAGCGGAGGTATTTCTCCCTGGAGAGCTTCTTAAGGGAGACTACTGACCTCCCAATATTTAGGTTTAATTGTATACAAAAACTGTGGCTGGAGCTGGTGTGATAATAAAGTATTGCCTTGTATAACAATAAACTACATTGAAACCAAGATGACCAGCAAGGTGTACATTTGAGAAGTTTGGCTGAAATTTTTGCTTTAATAGGCTATATTCTTCCCTAAAATCCTGATTGGATTTCAGTGAAATTCAATCTAAATTATCACTTGGGAAGGTCAGTAATTCCTTAAATTCAAAACCCCCAGGGACTTAGGGGCAAAGCCAAAATGGGTAATTTTGCTAAAATTTTGCTTTCCAATTCTGATATTCCTAAATGCCAAATTGAATTTCAACCAATTTCATTTGAAACTCACTTTGGGATGGTAATAATTCCTGAAATGAATAAGTTGATTGTCAGATGACTGTTAAGGACCAATGGTTTCAAATATGATATGACACCGACCTCTAAAACATTATATTTCATAGTCTATTCGCCTGGTGGCGAAAAGTCAAAAAGATACCGTAATAAAGATCTGATTTTGGATGCCTTGACAGTCAGCGGAGAAAATTCTCCAAGAACCAACATCAAATAGCTTACATGTATGTATGTTCCCCAGTACAGATACGTACCTACCTGGCCTGATGATCTATTACTTAAGTTATACATATGTTGAAACTCATGATAATACATCAAGCAAATTACAAAATGATTGAGATATGGTTTTTTTCTATACTAATATAATTTGTTTGATTAAATTCTACTAGCCAGATTGCTGGATCCTGATAACAAATCTCTGAAATGTCAGCTGAATTTACGGCCGTAAGGTTGCAGCAGTTGTCAACAGAGGAATCATATAACAATGATCTAATTTAATAGCCAGGTATAGGCATGCAATGACATTTGAATCTGACATTAGTGAGTGCCACTAACAGGTTTTTCAATAATAGTTAAAAATCAGGAGGAATGCTGAAGTATGGAAAACTCGGTTTTACAGCTCCCATTCCTTACTACAGTATCTATATCTCAAGTTCTGATCTGTTTCTCGTAGATACCATGAACAGTTGCTACTTCATGATAAAACTTCTGAGTTTAAGTAGAATTTAATGAAACTTCTCCAACGTTGGAACCATTCTCTTTATTTCACTTTGATTCGGTTCAGTTCTTTGTTATCATTGGCTCATATAGCCTTTTTTTGTTCAATTAGTTCTGAAATGTTCTATTAGACTGGATTTTTTTTAATGATATTTACATGTTAAAATCTGTGAAAATGATTCAGTTAGTGAATTACGTTGAGCCATACAAACTTTAACAACATATGATTATACTTTAGTTGTGGTTAAGATCCTTAAGAATCTTTTCCATCATTGGAGAATATTAGAGCCACTGTGTTGATTTTGTATATAAATCTGTATCATATCATTCTAAATAGTTACAATGTTATATTATTTTTTTCTCTCCAGGTGGGTTCCCTGCTCGGTACTTGGTGGCACTGATTTCAGGCATAGCGGGTATCTTTTTAGCCATAGTGGTGTACTTGGTGTGGTTTTACTGTCGTCAGAAACGAAGTCATCTAAACTGGCACGGATCTTCTGACGGTGAAGATTCTCCGAATACTGTGACCAACGACCTCAAGATCAGTCAAAGTACGCCCGACCTTGTGCATCAGTTAATGGCTGAAAATGGAGGAATCAGTCACTCCAAACATGGAATTTTTAAACATACCCAACGTCAATCAACCCTGCCAACGGTCTCCGAGAGACACGTGTCATTTCAGCGACAACTTTCCCACAAGTTGGACTTGTCTAACATTGAATTTACAGTTCAAAGTATAAAACATAAAGAACAGCCAAACCTGGGTTCCATCAAACCAGAATTGTATAAACAAGTGTCCATTGACAGTATAAAAAGTGAGCAGATGCTTTGTGGTAAAATCTTCTTCAGTCTCAAGTATGAGCATGACCTTGGGGAGCTAAAGGTTCTCATACACAGAGCAGAGGATTTACCTGCGAAAGATTTTTCAGGCACATCAGATCCATATGTAAAAACATATTTACTACCAGATCGTAAACACAAGTGTCAAACAAAAGTTCATCGCAAAACTCTTAACCCAGAGTTCAATGAATCATTCACATTCTCTGTACCCTATAAGGAAATTACGTCAAGAACTTTGCAGTTTAATATATATGATTTTGACAGATTTTCTCGTCATGATCTGATTGGTGCTGTTGTGGTGAAGGATATTTTAAGTGAGGGAAGTTTGCTGAAAGAAACATTTTATGTGAGAGATATACTTTCAGCCAACCAGGTGAGTAAAATACTATGTACATTTCTCAGAATAATCTGTTTTCAGCCAATCAGCTGTTTAAACAGGTATATACAAATATTTCAAAATAAATTCGTCATTCAGGTGAGTTCACCATCTCATGATTATTTTGTGTACCAAGTAAAATGAATGAATTTACTTTTTGAAATGTTTTTATGTAGACCATCATCCACTCAGGTTCCATACAATTACTGGTTGTGGTACAAATGTTGATTAGGTACTATTGGAGCATATGGAAGATGTATGAAATAATGTTAGCAGAAATAGAACAATATATAAAGGTTTGAAATAATGACATGTAGAGGCAGCGAAAAAGGAGGGTGAATAGTAGAGATTTGATCTGAGGAAAGTAGAGGCAGCATAAGGAGGGTGATATATCAATATCTGATGTAAAAAAAACAGGGTATACAGAGGTTTGAATCAGTGACAAGTAAAGTCAGTAAAAGGAGGGTGAATAGTAGAGATTTGATCTTAGGAAAAGTAGAGGCAGCATAAGGAGGGTGATATATCAATATCTGATGTAAAAAAAACAGGGTATATAGAGGTTTAAACTAATGACAAGTAAAGTCAGTAAAAGGAGGGTGAATAGTAGAGATTTGATCTTAGGAAAAGTAGAGGCAGCATAAGGAGGGTGATATATCAATATCTGATGTAAAAAAAACAGGGTATATAGAGGTTTGAACTAATGACAAGTAAAGTCAGTAAAAGGAGGGTGAATAGTAGAGATTTGATCTGAGGAAAAGTAGAGGCAGCATAAGGAGGGTGATATATCAATATCTGATGTAAAAAAAACAGGGTATACAGAGGTTTGAATCAGTGACAAGTAAAGTCAGTAAAAGGAGGGTGAATAGTAGAGATTTGATCTGAGGAAAAGTAGAGGCAGCATAAGGAGGGTGATATATCAATATCTGATGTAAAAAAACAGGGTATACAGAGGTTTGAACTAATGACAAGTAAAGTCAGTAAAAGGAGGGTGAATGGTAGAGATTTGATCTTAGGAAAAGTCAAGGCAGCATATAACCAAGGGGATATGTAGATCAGGCTAGAATGGAGGAAAAAGTAGAGGCAGCATATAACCAGGGGGATATGTAGATCAGGCTAGAATGGAGGAAAAGTAGAGGCAGCATATAACCAGGGGGATATGTAGATCAGGCTAGAATGGAGGAAAAGTAGAGGCAGCATATAACCAGGGGGATATGTAGATCAGGCTAGAATGGAGGAAAAGTAGAGGCAGCATATAACCAGGGGGATATGTAGATCAGGCTAGAATGGAGGAAAAGTAGAGGCAGCATATAAACAGGGGGATATGTAGATCAGGCTAGAATGGAGGAAAAGTAGAGGCAGCATATAACCAGGGGGATATGTAGATCAGGCTAGAATGGAGGAAAAGTAGAGGCAGCATATAACCAGGGGGATATGTAGATCAGGCTAGAATGGAGGAAAAGTAGAGGCAGCATATAACCAGGGGGATATGTAGATCAGGCTAGAATGGAGGAAAAGTAGAGGCAGCATATAACCAGGGGGATATGTAGATCAGGCTAGAATGGAGGAAAAGTAGAGGCAGCATATAACCAGGGGGATATGTAGATCAGGCTAGAATGGAGGAAAAGTAGAGGCAGCATATAACCAGGGGGATATGTAGATCAGGCTAGAATGGAGGAAAAGTAGAGGCAGCATATAGCCAGGGGGATATGTAGATCAGGCTAGAATGGAGGAAAAATAGAAGTAGCAAAAGGAGATTAATTGATTTTCAAGAGTTGAATTCAAAGATTCCAAGTCAAGCATTTTTGTAAACAATAGTAAAAAAAAACAAAAAAAGACTTGGAATTGAATTAAACCTAGCTGAATGGATATTTACAAGGTTCATGGTGATAAATTAGCTACTTCATTGACCACCTTTACTGCTTTTTCACAGACATATTCAAATTTGATGTATAGGGCAGAATTGATATGGACAATCCCCACCTTCTGAATATTGCTTTACACCAACAACAATACCCAGGAAATGAGGGAAACAATAACACAATCCTTCTATTGTTGGCACAGGCATGCTGTGTTCTTTGTCTTTCCATAATTCTGTCAGCTCCAAACATGTGAGCGCATAAGAATGGTGCCTCATTTCCTGCTTCCTGTGCCTATAGTGTTGCAGTAATATATTTCCACACCATTGCTCTGTTCTGATACATCCACAACATTGACACAACATTGGCGATGGTGATCTATTCTTCAGCACCAACCTCAGTACACAGAGGGATTGACAGGAAATGCATTAAGTTCTCTAAAAAAAAAAAAAAAAATGAAATGTGATTTAAATATTGCTTTTTCTTGCATCTGAATGTAAATTACCTATACATTTAACTTCACTGAAGTAACATTAAACAGAAAAACTCACCAGGTACAATGTATATTAAAATTGAAAGTACAGAACAATAAAAAACATCTGGTAGATTTTGACAAATCTTATAGCTTATTTAGGAAAATGTTATAAAGTGTTTGTACATTTGCCATTTATTTCAGGAATATAACAGAAAATTGATATTTTTAGAAATGAAAATTTGAAAATATTTAAGTAAAGAAACAGAAATAGTGAAACTGCTATGTACTCAGAAATACTGATATATGTACAGTTTATATATTAGAGTGCTTTTTTTATCTGTTTGCTCCTTGTTATAACGGCATTTCAGAATGTTTTCATCATGGTGGTGAAATAAACATAGAGATAGCACTTTGTATTTCATTTAGCAGTCTGTTATTTGAAGAATGTCGACCATTTCAAAAATAAAGGTGATTCTTCTTCCACAATTTTTTTCTCTCTGCAAAATGTACAAGATTATAAATGGATGTCCATAATTAGGTTTTAAACCTTAATGCTGTCATATTTGTTGTCAAATCTAATAAGTTCTTTGTGAAATTTCTTTATTTCAACTTGTAATGGTATTTCATTGATTACAAAAGTTGATCAATGGATTCAAGTCAAGTGCAAATTTGTGGTATTAAATTAAAAAAAAAAAAAAGAATAAGAGATTAGAATTCAAATAATTTTAGGAGAAACCAAATTACCATGAGTTGGGTTGTTTGGTTTTTTCCTGTTGGATAATAGTAATACTTTGATAAATGTTCATTGATGAAAAAAAGGAATTTCCTTTATCTTTAACAATGACATCAACACCATATTCTTAATTTGAAATTAAATTCGATGAAGCAAAATATGAACAAATGTTAGATTTCCATGGAGACCCATGGTAAGCATTTTCTGCTTCATTGACAACACTTAACATGTAAATCTTGGTCAATCAATCTAAGTTATGACAGGTTTTCAAATGAGAACATTATGTAAACAACAAAGAAACCCAACAAACATTCTACTGAGCATCAAACACATGTAAGAAAATTTTAATTTCCATTTTTAAACTGCTTTACTCATTTTGAAGATGTGTTTTAAAATTTGCTCTGTGAATCCAGAATGACAATAATTATGGATTGATTTTATGTGAAGGATATACCAGGAGACTCTGTAAGTTGTAAAAGCAAACATAGAACATCTAAAAAATGTATCCAGAATAATGTCTTATGGTGCTGTATTCTGGGGATTTTAACTGGCACTTGAAATTGAGGAATGTATTTGGAAATTGTTGGTGGGGTTATAAACTGGCATTATACAACAGGAAATAGCCAGCGTTAAAACTTCGGCAGTCATAAAACGACAGAGTGTCAATCAACAAATTCATTTGGAAATAGAATGGCTCAAGTTTAATCATTACTGGTATAAAAACAGTCGCCAAGGATGATTAAATATGAGAAAATTAATGTGGATGTTCTCGTTGTGGCTAAAATGGCAGATAATCATTGCTGTTAATTATTCCAATTTGAAGTGGTTTTTAAAGCTGCAAATATTGTCACTATTGTTTTTATTTATTCCTAAAATAAACTCTTATTATTGGTTGAAAGGATATTTAGTATCCTTTTTTTTTCATCCAAACTTTGTTATGTTCTTGTAATATTTGAAAACTTCTGCTCCAAAACATGTTTTGATATTTGTTTGACAGGGAACATTAATACCTGGCCTGTTTTCCTAGATATATTGTTAAACATCTTCTTTGTACTGATTACAATGAAAAGTTTGAAATCTCCTTACAGTAACTGTGTCGACAAGCTCATATATACATTTAGGACTTGAAACTGAAAAAGCTAGTGTTTAGTGTTTTGATGTTAAACTCTACACTTATAAATTTTCTTTGCAAAAGAAGAATTGATTGAAGAGATTATTAGAACAAAAAATTAGCTCTAAATACCAACTTCTTCAATTTTATTTTAAGAGACATTTGTGTGTTGATGATGTGTATTCTTTGAATTATAGAAAATTCATTGATCACTCAGATTCATCCAGAAGAATCTTAAAACACACTTGACACTACACATTATTCTGTGTCTCCTGCATACCTTAATCTTTACTTCTGTAACAAGTTGTATGGTAACTTTGGGTAAAAGCATCATGTTTCCATTACTAGATAGTAACATCCTGCATTTTCACCAGATGGTGTTAACATGTTACTGTTAATTAGTAAAACAAATGTATAATGATTTCTCTGGTAACATACAATGTGAGATGTCCACTCTTGACCTAAAAATACAAGGGATTATTTCTTATTTAGAATATACAGTTCCCATATCTGGTACATACAGCTCCCATATCTGGTATATACAGCTGTTATATCTGGTACATACAGCTGTTATATCTGGTACATACAGCTTCCATATCTGGTACATACAGCTCCCATATCTGGTATATACAGCTCCTATATCTGGTACATACAGCTCCCATATCTTGTATAAACAGCTGCCATATCTGGTACATACAGCTGCCATATCTGGTATAAATAGCTCATGAAAATCTGGTACATACAGCTTCCATATCTGGTATATAAATCTCCCATATCTGGTATGTACAGCTCCCATATCTTGTATATACAGCTGCCATATCTGGTACATACAGCTCCCATATCTTGTATATACAGCTGCCATATATGGTACATACAGCTTCCATATCTGGTATGTACAGCTTCCATATCTGGTACATACAACTTCCATATCTGGTACATACATCTGTAATATCTAGTACATACAGCTGTTATATCTAGTATGTATAGCTTCTATATCTGGTATAAACATCTCCCATATCTTGTATAAACAGCTGCCATATCTGGTACATACAGCTGCCATATCTGGTATATATAGCTCACAAAAATCTGGTACATACAGCTCCCATATCTGGTATATAAAGCTCCCATATCTGGTATGTACAGCTCCCATATCTGGTATATACAACTCCCATATCTGGTACATACAGCTCCCATATCTTGTATATACATATCTGGTATATACAGCTGTTTTATCTGGTACATACAGCTCCCATATCTTGTATAAACAGCTGCCATATCTGGTACATACAGCTGCCATATCTGGTATATATAGCTCACAAAAATCTGGTACATACAGCTCCCATATCTGGTATATAAATCTCCCATATCTGGTATGTACAGCTCCCATATCTTGTATATACAGCTCCCATATCTGGTATGTACAGCTCCCATATCTTGTATATACAGCTCCCATATCTGGTATATACAGCTCCCATATCTGGTATATACAGCTCCCATATCTGGTACATACAGCTCCCATATCTTGTATAAACAGCTGCCATATCTGGTGGTATATACAGGTGCATATCACATACAGCTGCCATATCTGGTATATATAGCTCACGAAAATCTGGTACATACAGCTCCCATATCTGGTATATAAATCTCCCATATCTGGTATGTACAGCTCCCATATCTTGTATATACAGCTCCCATATCTGGTATGTACAGCTCCCATATCTTGTATATACAGCTCCCATATCTGGTATATACAGGTGCCATATCTGGTACATACAGCTCCCATATCTGGTATATATAGCTCCCAAATCTGGTATGAACAGCTTCCATATCTGGTACATACAACTCCCATATCTGGTATGTACAGCTCCCATATCTTGTATATACAGCTCCCATATCTGGTATATACAGGTGCCATATCTGGTACATACAGCTCCCATATCTGGTATATATAGCTCCCAAATCTGGTATGTACAGCTTCCATATCTGGTACATACAACTCCCATATCTGGTATATACAGCTGTAATATCTGGTATATACAGCTCCCATATCTGGTATGTATAGCTTCCATATCTGGTACATACAGCTGCAATATCTGGTACATACAGCTCCCATATCTGGTACATACAGCTGCCATATCTGGTATATACAGCTCCCAAATCTGGTATATACAGCTCCCAAATCTGGTATATACAGCTCCCATATCTTGTACATACAGCTGCCATATCTGGTATATACAGCTCCCATATCTGGTACATACAGCTCCCATATCTAGTACATACATTTATCATTTATACATATACAAAATATCATAGATCACAATTCTGATCTGTCTGTCCATATTGTCAATGTAAAGGCCTGTTTTGTGTTTATCAAAACACATAGGCATTGAATCTCTTTCATAGTCCAAGGGTCAAGAAAAGGAAAAGGATATGAAATCATTGAACAACGTTGTCACAAAGATCATACCTTATGATAGATTTATATATTATAAAATTTGTTTATTCTATCCATCCAATATTGATAGGAAAACTAATCATATCTGTTTTAATTAATTGCTCCAGACTTCAAAGACATCATTCTTCCCAGTGTATAGTGATGTCTATTCGTACATCTAGGTTGACTGGACAGATCAGGATAAAGTTTGCAATATCAGTTTCAGCCTCACCATGTTTACTCCATCTGTTGCCTCTCTTTTGAATGTGTATGAGGTGTATTGTACTTGAAAACAATAAACAATATAGTTGTAGATGAGGAGTATTTATATTACACAGTTTTCTATAGTAAATTAGATGTATGCTAAATTCTCATGTATTATTTCATTGTCATGTCAGAGACATTAAATATTTATCAGGATTCCTCTGGAACACTGACCAATGAAAATCCCTTGCCCACCATATCCGGTATCATTTTCAGATAGCAGGATGTGGTGATTGGGATGCTAATGTCATTGTATTTGGTTAATTCTTTATTTATTACTGTTCAATATTCAGACCAAGTCAAAATACTACCATAATGATAAATAGATAAGTTTTGATATTTTGTATTGACAGATTTATGGTAGAAATCTATTGACACACACCCTGGCACACCTTTGTATTCAGAACACTTGGTTTTATAACCATATTTTTAAAAATATCTTGTTTATTTAGAGAATGGTAATTTGAATATGCATTGTTAATTGAATGCATCATCTCATGTATCACCAATTATGGAGAAATAATTCTGAAGTGAAAAATACAGGATATGGAAGTTTTTCTTGTAACATCATATGTAACATTTTTCAAAATGTTTTCCATTATGTATTCTGTACATAACAAGAAAAAATTGACTATGGATGTGATCTCTCAATGACTGTAATAGATTTGTGTTCTGTACATTGCATGGAAAGTTTTACTCTGGAGTTATCTTCCCATGGCATCCTTGGATCATCAGGCCATGCTTTAAAGAGTGCCGTAGAGGTTAACTTCTCAATACTATAGCAGGTTGTGCTTCATACATTGCAGAAGTTTGGCTTTAGAGTTATCTATGGTTGTATTCTGTACATTTCAGGAGAAGTATGACTTTAGAGTTATCTCCCCATGACTAAACAAACACATTCTTTATATTTCAGATGAAGTTTTACTTCAGAGGTATCGCCCCTTGACAGTAATATGGTTGTATTCTGTACATTTCAAGAGAAGTTTGACTTACCTCAATATAACACTTATGCTCTTTACATTTCAGGAGTATTTTAACTTGTGAGTTATCACCCCTTTCTAAAATGCTTGTGTTCTCCGCATTTCAGGAGGATGTTGACTTTGCAGTTATCTCCCCTGACTATAATGCTTGTGTTCTCTAAATTTCAGGAGAAGTTTGACTTTGGAGAGCTGATGTTATCACTGTGTTATCTCCCTACGGCTGGAAGACTGACGCTGACTGTGGTCAAGGCCCGTAATCTAAAGGCCATGGACATTACAGGTTCATCAGGTGAGGTGATACAGCATAATTAGCATATACACCAATGGAGATGTTTCTGAGATAACAAAGGTTACTAGAGTTTATCCACGTATGAAGCTTTCTTTATGGATGTCTGAGAATGCCATAACTAAGTTTGGAACATAACATCCTTGGATCATCAGGCCTCTAATCGTATATAAATTAAGGTAGTGACCACATTCCACCATCTCCAATGTGCAATAGCACTAGTTGTTATGATCTAATATGATACTTACCATACCAATAAGGGAGCCAAATGTTTGGCCATTGAGAGGAGAGAGAAAAAGGACTAAAGGTTCCAGTAAGGATATAGGGTTCAGTCTTGACACGACACACATAAAAATAGGTAAAATGATTTATCTCCAATTGATATGAATCATTCTGATATGCTGTGTAGATTCAGTTTCATATGGATGAAGGACCCTTGAGGACATTGATTATAAGTAAAAGTGTCGAGGTAGAGAGATACTTTGTTTGGCAGTTTTTAACTAATTTTGGTATAAAGAATCACTGGGGTAATTATATTTCATAAATGAAAGTTATTTTCTCTCATGAGTACATATATTCCCAAATGATTTTAGTATGTTCCTCAATTTTGCAGTAATTGCTCCATACAAGTGATACATCAGACACAATACTAAAATTCTTCTATAAAATTAATGTTTTATTTGACAAAATTAAATCATGGTCAAAACACAGACCATGATTTGTGTAGCAGTTCTGTATATCCTTCAGACTGAGAGATAAAAAATTTACAGTATACTGTATAGAAGTTTTGTGGTAGATGTAGATTTTTAAAAATTGTAATGTATACATAGATATTTATCAACATATCTATATACATACATATAGACATCATCCTGACTTTTTTACATCAGTTATGTTGGTCTTGATAATTAAGAAAACTGCAATACAAAGGAAACGAGATCCAATGTCTGGTCTGGTAGATTCAGTAATATCAGCAGTCGTCCTAGGACAGATTCCTAGTGGAATATAGGAGTGTGGTTCAAAGATTTGTAAACAGCAAACATAGAGGACCAGACAAGAATATTCTTCCTACAGATGTTGTCGTCTTCTATATCTGCAATTAAGAAAACAGTGAACTACTTATTCGTGTAAAGGAGTGACATTGATTCATTTTGTAAGAAAAATGACTTTATCAAATTTCAAACAACATGGCGTTGTCCGTAATACCTTAAGGAAACGGTTCAAATATTTCATGTTCAGTTTTCCAGTAAATCACTCTGTATTTTTAGCAAAGGTACAGTTACTCATCAATGTAGCACACATAGACCTATCACTTTACCTATTAAGACTTGCTGAGAATTCTATAGATTAATATACAGAGGCCATTAATATTTATCCTTGGATCGGCCATAAGAGATCTGTAACAGACATAAATATAGACCTGTCTCCTATCTAGCTTGTCTGTAGTCATCACATCCATAAAAAACCATAAACAATAAAACTAACACAATTTTGAATTATGTTTTAGATTCAATAGAGAACAGATCTATTGGCTATAAACAGTGTTAATATCATCAAATGTGTGATAAATGGTTTTGTTTGCATCAAAATAAATTCCTATTGAGGATGAACATAGCTGACATGATAAGTATGGTTTAAGTGCTGCCTTTAAGTAGTGTGTTTGTCTGTTATGGGGTCTGCTGTCATAATACTACATATGAATATGAGCACATTAATCACATTTATAGAAACTTTGTTGAGACATGCATTTTATAAATTCATGCATCTATACAATTGCATCATAGTTAGAATTCAGTGTATTACACTCGAATTATGGGTCACTGTCATCTGACTAATGAACTGCATTGTGGCTGGTTTCCTAATACCTGAATTATATAGTTAGTACAAGGAATGACTAGGTCCAAATATGATTTAAATTTTATCAAACATAAACTTTATTCACTTCACAACAATGATAAAACAAATTGTATAAATGTAATTGGCCCAAACATTGTGCATGTGCATAACCTTAAGTGTTGTGGGAGAAAACCAGAGTAACTAGCAAACTTCACAGAGCGTGGTAGGTGAAACCTGGTGGCTTTCTCATGTCCAGGCGAAACAAATGTAACCCTGGTAACCTAAAATGAATATTGCATTTTCAGTATAATCAGCTGGACAGGCAATACAGCCTCAGTAATATACGTATAATTTTATCATATGATAAAAAAATTTAACTTACAGAATCATGCATAATTCCTTGAGTATACAAGGAATTTGCTTATTTGACCCGTCCAGTACAGAAATAGATCTCTGACAATGAATATGTCATCTATTTTGGACCTGATATTGTTTGTTGAGTGTTTGTAAAGAGATATTGTATGACACACTATTGTAATACATACAGGTAAAATGGTGTACTGTATGAGTGTTTGTAGAGAGATATTGTATGAGACTACTGTAATACATACAGGTAAAATGGTGTACTGTATGAGTGTTTGTAGAGAGATATTGTATGAGACTACTGTAATACATACAGGTAAAATGGTGTAATGTATGAGTGTATGTAGAGAGATATTGTATGACACACTACTGTAATACATACAGGTAAAATGGTGTAATGTATGAGTGTTTGTAGAGAAATATTGTATGACACTACTGTAATACATACAGGTAAAATGGTGTAATGTATGAGTGTTTGTAGAGAGATATTGTATGAGACTACTGTAACACATACAGGTAAAATGGTGTAATGTATGAGTGTTTGTAGAGAGATATTGTATGACACTACTGTAACACATACAGGTAAAATGGTGTAATGTATGAGTGTATGTAGAGAGATATTGTATGACACACTACTGTAATACATACAGGTAAAATGGTGTAATGTATGAGTGTTTGTAGAGAGATATTGTATGACACTACTGTAATACATACAGGTAAAATGGTGTAATGTATGAGTGTTTGTAGAGAGATATTGTATGAGACTACTGTAACACATACAGGTAAAATGGTGTAATGTATGAGTGTTTGTAGAGAGATATTGTATGAGACTACTGTAACACATACATGTAAAATGGTGTAATGTATGAGTGTTTGTAGAGGGATATTGTATGACACTACTGTAATACATACAGGTAAAATGATATAATGTATGAGTGTTTGTAGAGAGATATTGTATGAGACTACTGTAACACATACAGGTAAAATGGTGTAATGTATGAGTGTTTGTAGAGAGATATTGTATGAGACTACTGTAATACATACAGGTAAATTGGTGTAATGTATGAATGTTTGTAGGGAGATATTGTATGACACTACTGTAACACATACAGGTAAAATGGTGTAATGTATGAGTGTTTGTAGAGGGATATTGTATGACACTACTGTAATACATACAGGTAAAATGGCGTACTGTATGAGTGTTTGTAGAGAGATATTGTATGACACTACTGTAATACATACTGGTAAAATGATATAATGTATGAGTGTTTGTAGAGAGATATTGTATGACACTACTGTAATACATACAGGTAAAATGGCGTACTGTATGAGTGTTTGTAGAGAGATATTGTATGACACTACTGTAATACATACTGGTAAAATGATATAATGTATGAGTGTTTGTAGAGAGATATTGTATGACACTCTGCTGCTCGTTTTGACAGATCCATATGTGAAGGTTTCACTGATGTGCCAGGGGAAGAGGATAAAGAAGAGGAAGACATCAGTAAAGAGAAACACACTGAACCCTGTCTACAATGAGGCGATGGTGTTTGATGTTCCTCAGGAGAATGTGGACGATGTATATCTGGTCATCAAAATGATTGACTACGATAGGTAAGTTGCTAGGTCTAAAGTGTTTGGATTTTATCTTGACCTCATAAACAGGTAGCACAGAGGTCTCTTTAAACAGGATCTATGTTTTTACTGCAGTCTAAATGATGTGAGTGTATGGCTAGCGTTACTGCAATCTTACGCATTTTCTCTTTGGTCTGAATATATGAATGAATTAGCTGTTGTCTTAATGTCTCTTCTCTTTGTTCTGAAGTGCAATCTCATATATTTCTGCATTAAAAACCAAGAAAATACCATCATGTCAACATATCCATAATCCAAACACAAATTCAATAAAACAAGACAAAAAATATTGACAAAAGAAAGATTTACACAGAGACTCCCGAAAAAGTACGGAGAATACATCACATCATGTACTTCAATAAAAACAAGGAATGCTACAATGGAACCAACAGGCAAATTAATGAGCAGCAAACACGTCTAGCTTTATAACGCACAAAGAAATAGAATATTTCTCACTATAATGACTGTAAACCTTCCCCATCATTTTCATCAACCTGCATCTTTTGAAACCCTGTGTTATGAGTTTGTCCATCATTTCATGACTTCCTGCATGAAATCATGATAATGGAAACAGGGCCTTGAATATCTAATCAACTGCGACATGTATACTCCATAAGTTGGGAATGCAGATAAGTTGCTGTCCAGAAATGGAAAATTTACAATAGGGACAATGAAATTATCACAGGCATTATACAGCTTGGTGGAAAGGTTTTGTTTTAGGAAAAGATGGGCTGATGTATGATCAGAATGTATAGGTTGGTTAGCTGCAGTCTTAGTCCTTTTTTCACCTGGTTTCACTGTAAACTCATGTCTTTCTCCTTTGGTCTGATTGTATGGCTGGTTTCACTGTAAACTCATGTCTTTCCCCTTTGGTCTGATTGTAAGGCTGGTTTCACTGTAAACTCATGTCTTTCTCCTTTGGTCTGATTGTAAGGCTGGTTTCACTGTAAACTCATGTCTTTCTCCTTTGGTCTGATTGTATGGCTGGTTTCACTGTAAACTCATGTCTTTCCCCTTTGGTCTGATTGTATGGCTGGTTTCACTGTAAACTCATGTCTTTCTCCTTTGGTCTGATTGTATGGCTGGTTTCACTGTAAACTCATGTCTTTCCCCTTTGGTCTGATTGTAAGGCTGGTTTCACTGTAAACTCATGTCTTTCCCCCTTTGTTCTGATTGTATGGCTGGTTTCACTGTAAACTCATGTCTTTCTCCTTTGGTCTGATTGTATGGCTGGTTTCACTGTAAACTCATGTCTTTCCCCTTTGGTCTGATTGTAAGGCTGGTTTCACTGTAAACTCATGTCTTTCCCCTTTGTTCTGATTGTATGGCTGGTTTCACTGTAAACTCATGTCTTTCCCCTTTGGTCTGATTGTAAGGCTGGTTTCACTGTAAACTCATGTCTTTCCCCTTTGGTCTGATTGTAAGGCTGGTTTCACTGTAAACTCATGTCTTTCTCCTTTGGTCTGATTGTATGGCTGGTTTCACTGTAAACTCATGTCTTTCCCCTTTGGTCTGATTGTATGGCTGGTTTCACTGTAAACTCATGTCTTTCCCCTTTGTTCTGATTGTAAGGCTGGTTTCACTGTAAACTCATGTCTTTCCCCTTTGTTCTGATTGTAAGGCTGGTTTCACTGTAAACTCATGTCTTTCCCCTTTGGTCTGATTGTAAGGCTGGTTTCACTGTAAACTCATGTCTTTCTCCTTTGGTCTGATTGTAAGGCTGGTTTCACTGTAAACTCATGTCTTTCCCCTTTGTTCTGATTGTATGGCTGGTTTCACTGTAAACTCATGTCTTTCCCCTTTGTTCTGATTGTAAGGCTGGTTTCACTGTAAACTCATGTCTTTCCCCTTTGTTCTGATTGTATGGCTGGTTTCACTGTAAACTCATGTCTTTCCCCTTTGGTCTGATTGTAAGGCTGGTTTCACTGTAAACTCATGTCTTTCTCCTTTGGTCTGATTGTATGGCTGGTTTCACTGTAAACTCATGTCTTTCCCCTTTGTTCTGATTGTAAGGCTGGTTTCACTGTAAACTCATGTCTTTCCCCTTTGTTCTGATTGTATGGCTGGTTTCACTGTAAACTCATGTCTTTCCCCTTTGGTCTGATTGTAAGGCTGGTTTCACTGTAAACTCATGTCTTTCCCCTTTGGTCTGATTGTAAGGCTGGTTTCACTGTAAACTCATGTCTTTCCCCTTTGTTCTGATTGTAAGGCTGGTTTCACTGTAAACTCATGTCTTTCCCCTTTGTTCTGATTGTTTTGTTGGATAAATTATAGTCTTGTTGCTTTTTTTTTTATTTGAATGCATGACCATTTTCACTTGAGCCTTATGCCTCTTTTCATGATCTGAATGTATGGATGGTGTCTTCTCTGTGGTTAAAACGTATGGCTGACTTAATTTCAATCTCATGTTTTTCATCATGGTGTGATTATATGGGTTCACTGAAGTCTCAGTTCTATTGTCTTTGGTCTCTATGTTTTTGCAATGTTTACCTTTATTTCAAAAATTGCTTTGAATTATATTTGAGGACACTTCAGTTTTTACTGTATACTTTTTTCCTGTTTCTCAAATTTTAGAATTTGATTGGATATGCCTACACAGTATATGAATCAGATGAAAGACCCCCTAGATGAGGCAATATCAGATTTTATCCAATATACCTACAGTTCTATAAATCATGGTAGAGCCTTAAAAACTTACCAAAATGTCGTAAACATAAACCATGCAAATTTTGATACATATTCTGCTAGATTCTTCTATTTTTGATAAAAAACAAGTGATAACTGTCCTCTGCACAGTCTTTTAAATGTCACTTTCTGCTGGTACACATATGTCAGGGTTGACATTCAAATAACGCAGACAAGACTGGGTTCATCAGGATCGGATCAATACTGACGGAAATTAACAAATTAAAAATAAATGTGAGCAGTAGATGTTTTAAATGTCTTTCTCCTTCATTTTAAATTTATTTCTCCAGCTTAGATTTAAGGCAATAAAATATTAAGTGATAGGAAATTCTATCGTATCTGTTTATAATGAGAACATTTATACAACATACATAAAATAAATACAATTATTTCTAACAACAATTCATCATGAAATTTTATTTCTTAGTATTTGCAATTAAATTACAAATTGCTTTTTTATTCTCTGGATTTAGAATTTAAGACTGAGTGATGTTTCAGATTCCAAGATATATATTCATTGTGATTGATATTTGATGGTTTTCTTTGAAGATCAAATTCACAGGACATCATCTGTATATTGTCAGGATGTCATCAATATATTGTCAGGACATCATCAATATATTGTCAGGACATCATCGGTATATTGTCAGGACATCATCAGTATATTGGCAGGATGTCATCAATATATTGTCAGGACATCATCAATATATTGTTTGGACATCATCAATATATCGTCAGGATGTCAACAATATATTGTCAGCACATCAGCAGTATATTGACAGGACATCATCAATATATTGAGAGGATGTCAACAATATATTGACAGGATGTCATCAATATAATGACAGGACATCATCAATATATTGTCAGGACATCATTAGCATATTGTCAGGATGTCATCAATATATTGAAAGGACATTATCAATATATTGACAGGATGTCAACAATATATTGACAGGATGTCATCAATATATTGACAGGACGTCATCAATATAATGACAGGACATCATCAGTATATTGTCAGGACATCATCAGGATATTGTCAGGACGTCATCAATATATTGTCAGGACATCATTAGCATATTGTCAGGATGTCATCAATATATTGAAAGGACATCATCAATATATTGACAGGATGTCAACAATATATTGACAGGATGTCATCAATATATTGACAGGACATCATCAATATAATGACAGGACATCATCAGTATATTGTCAGGACATCATCAGGATATTGTCAGGACGTCATCAATATATTGTCAGGACATCATCAATATATTGTCAGGACATCGTCAGTATATTTTTTCATAAGTCAGTAGAGCACCAAATTAAACAATGGTGGCCTCAATGGTGGCCTAAATTACCATTCCATACTGGTCCTGATGTGATCCAATAGTCTTGCTGATGTACTAACAATGCACTTCTGTTCTTATTGATAAAATACTATATTGTAGAACTACTATACTGCTACTGTAGTACATCTTGTGAAGGTGTCTCAGTATAAAATCACTGGCACGTCAGCTCATACATCAGTAGGATAATGGTTAAGTGAGGCTAGAACAATTATCAAACAACTTGAACACCAGCAAGTATCTCAATGGTACTCCACCGATTACTACGCGGTGATGGCACTCCACCGATTACTATGCGGTGGATAATTTTGTCTTTCAATTTAGTTCCCACAAGGTATATTGATACTATGTGGTAGGGCGCTATCTCTTTCTCTGGTGACATTCAGTTCAAACAACACCATAACGTTATGACATCAGATCTGAAACAATGGGAACTGTCAGCTTTACCTGGTGTTATTATATATATAGTCATAACAAAATTATGTAAAATGAAATGTGGAGTTCGGAACAAACGCCACAGTGCCAAGTGGTTTCTTCTGAGGTCCTTGACTGTCATTACGGATACCGTAGGCATGCATGGGCTTGTATGCAGTGAATCAGATAAGATGATATATATGTACAACCTCAACACACCACAGCTGATTCTTGTATTTATTTGCTACATAGTGGCATTTGACTGGTTTCACATCTTTGGTGATGCTTCATCAGAACCCATGAAGCATCTTCAAAGATATCAAACAGTCATCTGCCACTATGTAGTGGCTAAATACAAGAATCAGCTGTGGTGTGTTGTGGTTGTATTACATCATATCTAAATCTATATAATGGGTAGTTTTACACATAATTTAAATCCTGTTAATTAGTTCTGACTTTGAAACATCAAATCCACAAAGTTAACCATTATCAGTATTTGCCAGCCTTCTCCCTTTGAAGATAGACTCTTAATCTTATACCTTTCAAAAAAAAAATGATGAAACCTTTTTTTCTAGATTATATATCTGTAGAATCAAATCAGTTCATCATTAAAAACATGTGTCAAACCTCCTTATCTTGAACTCCTATAATTAGAAGACCCCATTTTTATTTGAAGCATTTCATCGGTCTGTGCTTAATAATACACAAAACATTCAAACTCAAAAATTGAATATTCGGTTATGGTGAGGTTTCCCCATGGTCCTGACACGTATGACTGTATTTATACCTTTGATTCCATAGACAGTTATAAGCAAAGTTCAAATTCTCTCCTTTTTTCCTGAAAGGAAACCACAAGGAAAAGTTTTGATAGACATAGGCTTGCGTTCTATCTACACTCGATGTGGTAGCTCATTCTTGGCTTCTTATTTTCCTGAACAAGGAAAACCTACTCACTGTCTTAGTATATAGATATTGGCAGTCTTGGGAATTCTCATGATGTTGTTAAGGTCTCCTTTAATATCATATATGTTGATTTTCAAAATACAAATATAATCAGCTATGATTACATTCAGAGGTAGCACTGGGGAGTCTGTCAGGCCATATATCTGTGTAGTATAATTATCTGACAAAAATGAGACTTTGACCTCTAATCAGGCACGGACACGCTATAGACATTTTGAGCGATTACGTATTAAATAAGGTGACATTTATAGATGTCATGCTGTATGTTGAACCATTTAATTCCCACAGGGACAAAATTGATAAGCAATGTGTGTTTGATTAAAACATATACCATAAAGTCCGATCCACAGTAGACCATTCTCCTGATATAATGGCTTGGAATGATCTGTCTCACCCAATCACAATGTATACAGCTTTGTTGTAATATAACGTAGGATAAATTTGATAGCAAATGAAAAATTTGGAATGAAAAGTGCTTTGTGAATTATCATGCCTTATCTGTCTGCTGTAGGTGCTTATAGACAACAATATCTGATTTGGCACAGTTGCAACACCTGGGGACAGAGCTGAGTGTAATGTTAGTAGATTGGATGTGATATATTCTCTGATCAGTATATTCTGTGTTGACAGGATTGGTAGTAATGAGGTGATGGGATGCTGTGCCCTGGGGCCCAAGTATAATGGTGTTGGACGAGACCACTGGTTTGAGATGTTGGAGTCACCCCGTAAACCTGTTGCCCAGTGGTATGCACTCCAGGAGCATGTGCCCTGCTGCAGTGACACTCCAAATGGCAAATGTAAGTTTGGCTGTCGCCATTCACGCCAGTCCACAGTCGACTCCAGTGAAGGAAGTACCTACTGATCGGTCATGTGACCTGATAGGTTTTGATTGGCTGTGCAAAGTTCAGCTGACCTTTGACAGCATTCACATGAACTGTTTCGATTTGCTGTTACAATACACAGGTTTGATACAGGCACTGATTGGCTGGTCCCCAGATGGAACATGGAGATGTGAAGACTGGATGTCTATATGGTGAAGCGTTGTCAATGGTGACCAATCTGTGGCAAACATCTAGCAGATTTATTATTAGGGAATCGGACCAGACCACATTCCTTAACGTAAACCCACAGTTATACATGCTGTGTGCAGTTGATTAGAGGATTGTTGTGTTTTGTTTACCCAAGAGAACAGACTACGTCTTACTTGTTTACCTGTATTGTATTGTTAACCTTTCCATCTACATAGAATTTTGACTGATCCTGAAATATCTACTAAACCTTTGTTTGTGCATGAGAACCAAAAAGCACATATGTAGACTATTGATTGTTTTAGTAGTCCTAGATATGTTTAACACTAACCAAACATGTATCATTGTCTATGCTTAACCTCATTAAAAATGCCATCTTATTAAAGCTCATTGAAAAATGCATCTTGGAAATAGGATGGCGATGTAATGGTGACTATGACTGTAGAACACAGTTACAAACAAAAAAAACAACATGGAAACTGCAGACGTTGAAGTCAGAGGTTCAGGAGACAATATCATACAATATCATCCTAACAGTTAACTTTTAGAAACTCTTCATTTCATAGAACCCAAACGCATTTCATTTTAAACAAGCGTTCATAACAGGACTTTGTCAACCCCACTAACACCAATGTAGCATTAAGGATAACTGCCCCGTCATTCTTTACAACTAAAGAACACATTAAGGTATGTATATTTAAGGATAACTATACCATTATTTTGCATTAAAATAGTGGTAAAATAAAAACATCAAAATAGTTTATTACTGTTATCCTGTAATTACTAGCTGCAATATACTTATCAACCACAGAGAAGTCATCTTTATCTTCATCAGTGTCAAACTAGAAAACCAGATGTCCCAAGTTTAAATCTAAGCAAAGACAATTGAGAATAAATAATGACTTCTTTTACAATGGTGTCCATGCAGGGATTCAGGGATAATACAAAGTGATACTTTCACAAACTTTGCTGTAATACCTGGAAACTTGAGGGCAAGTTCTTTCTTTTAGTGGGAGTATGTTAACCTGGTAAAAACTAGTGAACATAAACAGCTTGGTTAGAGAGAACTCCTCTTTAGCTCAGTTGGTTGAGTCTTCCACTGGTAAGCTGGAGGTCAATGGTTCAATCCAAGTAGTGGTATCAGAATAAATGATGACCCCCGGTTACATTACACCAATGGAATACCGTTAGTATATAATCAACTAAGCTGAAAAATAAACATGCATTAGTTGGCATAATTGATATCAGACTTGGACTACTTCTGGTGTCATTAATGTGTTTGATAATTTGAGTGGAAACAAAAACTTGAATCAGAACTGATACAATATGACATTTAACGAGAAAAGTACAACTGATATATATTTAACAATTAAGTATAGGATACAGAACTACAGAACACGTCCATTGTAATCTTGACCTTGACATTGCTAGACTACACAGAATGGATGATTTTAAAAACATGAAAAACTGTCTCCTAAAATGTTAGTGAATGCGTTCTTTGTTAAAGATGTTCAAACAATAAAACAGTGATAATCTAGTGAAATGTGTTTCAAGTTGGTTTTCTCATTGGATTTGGAAAGTCGTAAATGGTTTATCTCAGCAATGCAGTTTTGATGTGATATTCTCTGATACAAGTTCTCCAGTCAGGAACATGGCATGCCAACTCTGAATCACATCTTCTTTAACAGTTGTTTGTTGCAATTTTGTCTCTCTTTTCTGATGGTAGCTGCCTTCATGGACAGTGTGACGCCACCTGCTACGGGAGTCTGTGTTTGGTTCCTAGTTGTCTGGATCAATGTTTGAGCTGTAGATCTTGTTTAGATATGTCCCAGACAGGTAGAGGGTATAGACAGCCAGTTATAGACAAATATTAGTTATAGACAGGTGATAGTTATAGACAGGTAGTAGTTATAGACAGGTAGTAGTTATAGACAGGTAGTAGTTATAGACAGGTAGTAGATACAGACATGTAGTAGTTATAGATAGGTGGTTAGTTACAGATAAGTAATAGTGAAAGACATGTAGTAGTTATAGACAGGTAGTAGTCATAGACAGGTAGTAGTTATAGACAGGTAGTTGTCATAGACAGGTAGTTAGTTATAGACAGGTAGTAGTTATAGACAGGTAATAGTTATAGACAGGTAGTAGTCATAGACAGGTAGTAGTTATAGACATAGAGAGGTGGTTAGTTACAGACAGGTAGTAGTTATAGACAGGTAGTTACAGACAAGCAGTATTTACTGACAAGTAGATACAGACGAGTATATTGTAGTTATAGATAGGGGTAGTTATTAAAGAGTTGAAGTCTTAGAAAGGTAGTTAGTTGTATACAAGTTATTGCTGTAGAATAGTATAAATGGTAGATAGAGATGGGTAGTAGTTGTAGACATATGGTTTATAGACAGGTTACAATTGTAGACAGGTAATAGATATAGACAGCTGATACATATAGACATGTGGTAGATATAGACAGGTGATAGATATAGACAGCTGATATATATAGACATGTAACAATTGTAGACAGGTGGTAGATATAGACAGCTGATACATATAGACAGGTAACAGTTGTAGACAGGTGATAGATATAGACAGCTGATATATATAGACATGTGATAGTTGTAGACAGGTGGTAGATATAGACAGCTGATATATATATAGACATGTGGTAGATATAGACAGGTGATAGATATAGACAGCTGATATATATAGACATGTAACAATTGTAGACAGGTGGTATATATAGACAGCTGATATATATAGACATGTAACAATTGTAGACAGGTGATAGATATAGACAGCTGATACATATAGACAGGTAACAGTTGTAGACAGGTGGTAGATATAGACAGCTGATATATATTGACATGTGATAGTTGTAGACAGGTGGTAGATATAGACAGCTGATATATATATAGACATGTGGTAGATATAGACAGGTGGTAGATATAGACAGGTGATATATATATACAGCTGATATATATAGACATGTGATAGTTGTAGACAGGTGGTAGATATAGACAGCTGATACATATAACATGTGATAGTTGTAGACAGGTGGTAGATATAGACAGCTGATATATATATATAGACATGTGGTAGATATAGACAGATGATAGATATAGACAGCTGATATATATATAGACATGTGGTAGATATAGACAAGTGATATATATATACAGCTGATATATATATAGACATGTGATAGTTGTAGACAGGTGGTAGATATAGACAGCTGATACATATAACATGTGATAGTTGTAGACAGGTGGTAGATATAGACAGCTGATATATATATAGACATGTGGTAGATATAGACAGGTGATAGATATAGACAGCTGATATATATAGACATGTGATAGTTGTAGACAGGTGGTAGATATAGACAGCTGATATATATAGACATGTGATAGTTGTAGACAGGTGGTAGATATAGACAGCTGATATATATATAGACATGTGGTAGATATAGACAGGTGATAGATATAGACAGCTGATATATATAGACATGTGATAGTTGTAGACAGGTGGTAGATATAGACAGCTGATATATATAGACATGTGGTAGATATAGACAGGTGATAGATATAGACAGCTGATATATATAGACATGTGATAGTTGTAGACAGGTGGTAGATATAGACAGCTGATATATATATAGACATGTGGTAGATATAGACAAGTGATATATATATATACAGCTGATATATGTAGACATGTGATAGTTGTAGACAGGTGGTAGATATAGACAGCTGATACATATAACATGTGATAGTTGTAGACAGGTGGTAGATATAGACAGCTGATATATATATAGACATGTGGTAGATATATACAAGTGATATATATATACAGCTGATATATATAGACATGTGATAGTTGTAGACAGGTGGTAGATATAGACAGCTGATACATATAACATGTGATAGTTGTAGACAGGTGGTAGATATAGACAGCTGATATATATATAGACATGTGGTAGATATAGACAGGTGATAGATATAGACAGCTGATATATATAGACATGTGATAGTTGTAGACAGGTGGTAGATATAGACAGCTGATATATATAGACATGTGATAGTTGTAGACAGGTGGTAGATATAGACAGCTGATATATATAGACATGTGGTAGATATAGACAGGTGATAGATATAGACAGCTGATATATATAGACATGTGATAGTTGTAGACAGGTGGTAGATATAGACAGCTGATATATATATAGACATGTGGTAGATATAGACAAGTGATATATATATATACAGCTGATATATATAGACATGTGATAGTTGTAGACAGGTGGTAGATATAGACAGCTGATACATATAACATGTGATAGTTGTAGACAGGTGGTAGATATAGACAGCTGATATATATATAGACATGTGGTAGATATATACAAGTGATATATATATACAGCTGATATATATAGACATGTGATAGTTGTAGACAGGTGGTAGATATAGACAGCTGATACATATAACATGTGATAGTTGTAGACAGGTGGTAGATATAGACAGCTGATATATATATAGACATGTGGTAGATATAGACAGGTGATAGATATAGACAGCTGATATATATAGACATGTGATAGTTGTAGACAGGTGGTAGATATAGACAGCTGATATATATAGACATGTGGTAGATATAGACAGGTGATAGATATAGACAGCTGATATATATAGACATGTGATAGTTGTAGACAGGTGGTAGATATAGATAGCTGATATATATATATAGACATGTAACAATTGTAGACAGGTGATAGATATAAACAGCTGATATATATATAGACATGTGATAGTTGTAGACAGGTGGTAGATGTAGACAG